GGGGCCCAAAGCTGAACACAGCACTGAGCTGTGAGCTCCCCAGTGCCGAGTCCAGGGGGATGGTCACTGCCCTAGTCCTGTAGCCACACTGCTCTTGAGCCAGGCCAAGATGCCCTTGGCCTTCTTGGCCACCTGTGCACACTGTTGGCTCCCATGGAGCTGCTGCCACCAGCACTGCCAAGTCCCTTTGTGACCAACACCTCTGTCTCTACTCCTCACCCAGCCTGGAGCTCCATGGGCTTGTTGTGTCCCAAGGGCAGGACCAGCACTGAGCCTTACTGACACTCCTGCAGTTGTCCCTAGTCTCAGATCACACTCAAGGTATGACCTCACCAGTGCCAAGCCCAGGGGGATGATCATTGTTGCCTCTTTCCCATGGTATCCTGGTGCCTCACTCCCACCCACCACCTGCTCCTCCTCCTCACTCACCCAGAGAGCTGCCCTGAGCGTGGCCAACATAGAACAGCTTCTCCTGATGGGTTTGCATTAGGATGAAGCCCACCATGGCAGGGAGATCATACATGGCCATCTCGTGGAAGCTGAGAAGCAAGGGGAGAAGCTGGTGGAGATGCTTATCTCACAACCTCCCGCATACATCGGGTGGTCAGCAGAGAGCCCAGCACCCCAACCCAATCCTTGGTAGCCTCACCTGAAATCCCAGAACTTCTCTTGGTGCACAGAGAGGTTGAGGTGTCTCCGGGACCAACTGTTGCCACGGTTGTTCCCGATCCAGACATCATACCCAGCATCGGCAAGGATGAAGCCCAAGCTGTTGTCAGGGAAGTTGTCCACCCAATATCCACCATCTAATGCAAATCCATGCACTATCAACACAGGTGACCTGGATTCTGCAAGAGGAGATTGCATAGAATCATAGAATTTTAGGGGTTGGAATGGAGCTTAGAGATCATCCGTTCCCAATCCCCTGCCCTGGGCAGGGACACCTCCCACCAGAACAGGTTGCTCAAGGCTTTAGCCAACCTGGCTTTGAACACTGCCAGGGTTGGGGCAGCCACAGCCTTCCTGGGCAACCTGTGCCAGTGTCTCACCAACATCACAGGAAAAACCTTTGCCTAATATCTAACTTTCCCTCTGTCAGTTTCTCCCCATTATTCCTTGTCCTGTCACTGCAGCTCCTAACCAAGAGTCCCTCTGCAGCTTCCCTGGAGCCCCTCCAGATCCTGACAGGTTGCTCTGACATCTCCACCATATCAGGTAGTTGACAGAAGAAGACATCATATTCTCCTAAGGAAATAAACCAGCCCTGTGCACCTTGATATGATTTTTACAGGAGAAATGTTTTTGCTGTGGGGTTGTTCAGGCACTGGAATATTGCCCAAGGAGGTGGTGGAGTCACGACCCGAAGAGATGTTTAAGAGGTGTCTGGATCTGATGCTGGAGGATATGGCTTAGGGTTTAGGGGTTCCAGCAGTGACAGGTTAATGATTGGAGCTGATGAACTTAGAGGTCTCCTCCAAACCTTGATGTTTCTATGATTATTTCCTGCAGGCTCCACATCAAACATTCTTTTGTCCAATTCCTTCCCTACTTCTGCTGGTGCTTTCCTTTAGTTTGAAGGTCTTTTGCCATCTCAAAACGTGAGCTATCAAGGAACCTTGGACCAGGAACCTTGACCTTGAACCAGGACAAGGGCTTTGCTTC